TGTTTCCAAAAGTACAAAATTTAAAATCAAAATAATACATATTATTAAACTGAATCTACGGTCGATATACATATGTTTGATATTTTTGATCTCAATGAAAGATAGATAACGATTTATTAATGTGTTTGCGTTTGAACTACTGACTATACGTCTATACCTACATTCACGGATGAGCCTTTTTTAATTTCGTGGGTTAAATCTGCAGTGTTCGTTGTTCGTTACTCAATATAGGTAATTACTAATTAGATAGTTGGATGAATTATTTTATTTTATTATATTATTATTATTATTTTTTAATAGTTAGATAGTTGGAAACATTTTTAAAAATTATATTTCATTATATTATTATGAATTTTTAGCACTATTTATGAATATATATTTTTGTTGTATAAATACATACTTTAGTTATATAAATACATATAAATCAATATTAATTAACTATATTTACATTTTGATTTATGGTAGATGACTGTAAATAGTTCAATAGTTGTAAATAAAACTATAGTGATGATTGGCGCGAAGAGCACCACACACGTGTGGCGATTAGGCAGTGTGAGATTATACTTCCCGTAAGCTCTCCGGGTATAATATTTATATGGGTGGTTTGCTAACCTTTAACACCGACACGCCTACAGCACACGAAACAGGATTGCCTCCAAACGTGTTAAAATGAAAAGCCGAATTCAACGACCGTGCAATCGTGGGCGTCGTGACGACAGCAGCCATCGGAAAACCGTTCCCGATGCCTTTGGCCATTGTCACTATGTCTGGTGTGACGCCGTGTGATTGGAAGTTCCAAAAGTGTTCGCCAGTTCTACCAAAGCCCGTCTGCACTTCATCGGCTACGCACAGACCACCGTTGCTCCTGATCAGGTCGTAGACTCTTTTTAAATAACCACTCGGGAATTGGACAATTCCACCAACGCCCTGTGGAACAACATTTTTTTTTTTAATTGAAATTTTATATCTTAAATTGTAATAAATTTAATCGAATCATGACTATTATATAACAATGTGAGATGAACAAGAGCGAGAATGTAATCTATAATTAGTGATTGAAGTTTGAAATATTTCTCTATAATATGTTGAAATATTTCACAAAAACGTGAACATTCAAATTTTTCTATAGTATATTTTTCAAATATTTTTATATAATGATTATTTATCAATAACCTAACCAAAGAAAATCATAATTAATGAATAGTTAGTGATAGTTTTCCCTAATATTATAAAATTGTGAAGGTAAGTTATAACAATATTTTACGTAAAAATAAATTATTTAAAAAAAAATATATATGTATATGCGTATACTGTATAATACTGAAATATTTCACGATTTTAAATTCCATAACATTTTCAAACACTAAATCTAATGTATATAATATCATCGATTACCTATACGCCTTAGTGCAGTTTTTTAAATTTTCCCTGCTATAATGTATGGACAACCAAAATGTTAGAATATGATTGTTCAATTGTTGCAACCCGTGAATGTATTATTATTATATGTTAAAATTATATTTTTTAATATTTTAATTTTTTATACGGCCGCCGGCCATCAATAAAAAGCTCATAATAAAATATGGYCTGCGTAAGTAAAAAGGTTGCCAATTCCTGGCCGAGATGGTATTATGTATATTATATACTTTATTGGTAYATCTAGATAAAGTTTTGTAACAATATTATTATTATTGTATCATCATTACATAATATTGTTTTAAAATATATACAATAGTTATTACTTTATTATAGTTGAACACTACACTTATACATATTACATATATACATTATATATACAAATACATTATACACATGTATTACTACGGCGTTGKTGCGTTGCTGATATGCTGATGACTCTACGATACAATAATTTTTGACCGGTCAGTGGTTTATTTTTGCACCTACCGCATACAATATAATACGATATCATGTATAATGTATTTCAATAGATTATTAGTGCAATTGCGGTTATTTACGAACTAAATCTTAGTTATTAATTTTTTTTTGTTTTTCCAGACGCATTTGAAAACTATAGGTGTTTGGATAATATGGTACCTAACCTTGCTACTTCCACCCTTTCAAATCAGAGTTTTTGTAATTAGTTCATGATTATATATCACAAGTCGAACCTGAATGGACTCGGCGAAAAACCCGGCTACCTTTCCACGAGGTATCGAATACGAGAATATTGCCTCCAGCTGCTCATAATATTTGTCAGCGGCTTGGCAATGAACTCGGTCACATTCGCAAGATCGCTGAGTCTGCACTGGTGAGTCCCTGCATTTCTTCCCGCCCCAGATACCTTTGAACACGTCCGGGCACATTGCGTGGWGAATGAAGTGGCCTGCAGACATGTTACTGTACTTGGCCGACGCTAATGCTGTTAGCCCATGTAGATTTCCGGACACGCCATGATAACAGTTCTGAATGGATATCACGTCCTGGTTTCCGGTGTGTAGCCGAACTAGCTGCATTGCCAGTTCGTTGGCTTCAGAACCGCTATTTACCAGGTACACAGTCTGCAAAGTTCAAACAATATATTATATATATATTTAAAAATGGTACGACTCAGTATRAACAAATGTTCAATGCTTTCATTTTCTTTAAAAAAACATACTGCATAAATGCATCATTTATAATTATATTCTACTTAAACTAGATAATGTAAAAGACTTAAAAATTAC